GAGGCTCCTGGCCACAATAAAATAGTAAATGACGACACATGAAAACACAATATAACGATCATTAGCTCGAAAATGTAATTTAAAGGGAGGCATATAAAAACTAGAAGTTGGGAAACTTAACAAATGACAAAAAAATTAACAAGTGTCTACATTTAAGGCCTTTTTGAGCTTGAGGCCCAGTCCAAATGGCTCTGCTCAGTTATAAATTTACCTTAGATGTGCTGATGAACTACAGAGCTAGCTTTAGTTATTTTGTTTTATTTAGAATATATACGTGATATAATAAACACTTTTAATACTTATTATTAAATGTATTCTGTCTTCAAATATCACACTATAAAGTAAAACTAAGTTAACTGTATCTGTTTAAAGACGTGTTATGTACGTGTTTATCATCTTTAATTAACAATCCACAACGTTTAAATATTTTACTTTAATTTATTAAATTTAATGATATCATTAATGAATGTAATAAAAGAATCAATAACTGACCTTCCTAGAGATTTGATTCTACTTAAAGTGAAAATTAAATACACACTGAATTAGTTTTAAGAAAGTTTTCCTTATAAAAGTTAAGTTTTAACTATAAAGTACCATATTAAATTTCTTACACATAAGGTTTCTATTTTTTTATTTAGTCCCGAAGAACTTACATTCATGTTGTGATTGAATTTCCAAACATACTTCATTGTTTGTCTGTGAACATGAACAAATCAAATTAATGTAACAATAAAGGGTTTAATAATACTAAAATACCAGGTTCTCTGTGTGATTAATTTGATTAGACATTCGTAGGACGTGTCATCTAGAGAATCAACCTTCAACAGTTATATACAAACAACGGACACAGAGTTTTATAATATCTGTATTGAAGCACGTTATAGCTGAGAAGTAACATATATATATTAAAGTATACTGAGTATAACAAAACCTCTAACGAACTAAACTTGGACCAAGAAGTCTAAAGTAAAGATAGACGAATAACAAGAAAATTAACAACAAAACCACAATGACTGAAAACATCAAGATTTTATTCCACTCAACGTTTGATAAAATAATTATACATACAACAGTGGTTTCTTCCTGTTTATATTCAACCATCCTAACATCTAATAGACTTCTTTGGTTTAGTCTTAGTACTTATCATAACGTTGTATGGTCACACTCATAGTGAGAGACTTTAGAAGTTTAAATTGACAGGATGAACTATTGAATAGCTCAATAGTATAATCCTGGCCTTGTTAGCCAGGAGTTCAAGTCCGGATCCACATTTACTGTTTTTCACATAACATGTTTAACATCAACAATCCTAGTAAACATTAATTGCTACAATAGTTTCGTTGTTATTATCACTGTGTTTGATGAATATATTGTTTACATTTTGTATTGTTTGTTTGTAGAACAACAAAGTTGGTTTGTTCTATATCTCATCAACTTTAAACACTGGATTTATATCCTTCGTTATAAGTGTCATATTTCACTGTCATTGTTCTTCAAACATTTGTCATCCAAAGATTAAAAGAACATCGTGGTGCATGTATTTTTTATTTTTATCTTTTCATTTAATTATTTTTATCATAAAGCTATCATTGTATATAATGTCACTTTTAACATTTTCATTTAGTTTAATTATCTTATCAAATGTAATATTTACATAATCTCTACAGGATTCTATTTCAAAATTAGATTTAAATTTTATCCAAGTCAAATTGGAGCCCCAAAGTGTTTAAAGTAATAACATATATCATCCAAAGTAACATTTTAAAGTTATGTAATTTGTAAGGATTCCAAAATAGGTTAACTGCGAAATATAACATATAAGGCCAGTATTTTCCGGGAATTCTCAAGGTTTTCTACAAAATGACCCTATGTATCCAAAACTATTTAAATATAATGAATTTTAATCTGATTTTGTTAAATTATTTTTTATAATTTTATAACTCCAATTTTGAATAAATAAAGCCAAAACAACTAGATCCAACAACATAAGTCTCCATGAAATTAAAACTGTTTAGTGTGTTTCAGCTTACGGCCACGTTTTTCTGTCTCCACGTGTGTACTTGTGTTTTAAGATTCCACGTTTGTTTGAAGACACAAGTTAAGCCTAAAGATCACGTTAGCTGGGAAACCGAAATCGGAGAGAAGAAAAACTTGAGCTCGGAGGTAGAAAAGTTTACAATGAATATTGTGCTTTCACGGTAAAATAAAAGTTAAAAGATACATTTAACAAATATTAAGTAACAGTGTGTTTTGTCGAAACTTTTAGTGTTTGTAAGGTAATGTATTCGATATTTAAAAAATTAGAAGTTTTGGAGACGTGAAAAAGTTTTGTTATATTTCTGCAAGACTCTGGCATTAATTATATCAAAATAAGATGCTATGACGTCATTGAACATAAAGAAGTCAAATATCTTTAGGTTTCTAACATTGTGATAAACAAGTAAGTCGGTAACGGTAACAATAATCCTTGTTATCACC